CACAATTTCAGTCACAACACGCAGTCAGAGGATGCGCTGAAACATCAGCTCGCGATGCTGTTCCCTTCATTCATAACTCGGACTGAGAAGGATAGGCTATATTTGTGTAAATAGTTGTGCAACTGCGCAAACTTTATGAAGTTTAATGTTTGGGTTCCAGGGGAATTTATGACTGTTTCACCTTTTCAACCTCATCAAAGTTTCGTAATTAGTAAGTTCTGTGCTTTTTCTCTTTTTTTTCTTGTGTGCTGACTGATGAGGGGCCGATGTGCCTTGGTGAAACGGTGTTTGTACATGTAGCTTATTTTTTTAATTATCGTGGCAAGCAATCATAAAATACAGCATATTGCACAAAAAAAAAGCAATTTACTGAGAAACGGACCTCGGGTTTGGGTCGGGCTCAGGCTTAAAATATAACCGTAATGTTCGGGTCAGGTTAAATGATTTCGGGTACGGGCCGGGTTTGGGCTTAAGTTTAAAGCCTGTGCTGACCTCTACTTCAGGCACATAACTTGTAAAATTTCAGCAATTATTAAATGACTTCTGTAGAGCTGTTTTACAGTTGAAATAGAATTGAGCTGAATAATGACACTATTGTCTTCAGTTCCATCTTTGGTTCTCTCTGATAGTCAATCAATCAAATACAGTCAAATGAATAATATTTCTGAATGTTAATTGTCATTCCCCAACTGAGCAGTGAAGGACACTTCATCTCAAGCTACAAATCAGACAAAAATGTTGGCTACCCATTTTCTGTGATCTTGACGAAATAAAAATAAAAATAAAAAACTGTTTACTCACTAAATATATACCATCTCAACAAAGTCCTGATATTATACCTTTACCAGAATCTGTGTATCACCATGGTCCTCAAAGTATGACTTAACCAGAGTCTGTGTATCACCATGGTCCTCAAAGTATGACTTGATCAGAGTTTGTGTTTAATGTCCCCAAAATGGACATAAAAAATACTGTCCCTAAAGTGAAGGCAAAATGTCAGGTCTTTAAGGAAGACTTTTATTAATAAAATCAAGTGATAAGTGTGATGACAGCTTCTCCAGAAGTGCAGTCATGTCTTTCTTTTGTCTCTAGACCCTTCAGAAAGGGGTGTCCCTAAAGGTAGGGTTCCCAGTCATACGTCCTCACATTGTGGTTAAGTAGGTATGTGTGTGTGTGTGTGTGTGTGTGTGTGTGTGTGTGTGTTCATGTGTTTTGAAGGTTGCGAGGCTTTAGAGACGCTCTGACGGAAATGTGGGATCTCATGCTTTCAAACTCAGTTATTGCTAGCCGTTGCGAAATAGCACAGTACCCTACCTTTAAACCCTAAAATTACTATACAATTATTAAAAGTTTACAGCTTTAATAATAAACTTTGACAGAAGAATTAATGCAAGTGCATTTATAAAATTATAAGCTTCACATTTCCGCTTTTAAGTTCTAAAAGTTTCCATTGACATAAGAGCCTCAGTGATTAACATTATGGCACAAATGCTGTTGTTTAACTTGTACTGAATATTCCAAGAATATGTGAAACACAAGACAAATGATCTCTACTCACCATAGACAGAAACATTGAATGTTTTTGATGTCATTTTTGCTCCATTTATCTGTAGTGTATAAACTCCAGTATGTTCAGTTGTGGTGTTTGTGATGGTCAGAGATCCAGTTTGATCGTCCAGCTTCAGTCTGTCTCTGAATCTCCCATCAGGAACATCATCATATGTGGAGAAGATTTGCTTCTTTTGTTTCATTCTAAATATGAGAGACTTTTCAACTCCAAAAATCCACAGTATGTCGTCGTCTTTAGCTATTTCAGTAACATCAGTGTTTAGAGTAACAGAATCTCCCTCCATCACTGACACTGAATCACCAAACACACCTGATGAACAAATATATTTGCACAGATTAAGGTTTCTGATGGTTTACAAAGCCTAAAAATAGCTGTAGATTTTATAGTTTACAAGTTGAGAAAATCCAATGTTTGTCGCATCACTTAATGTTAAACACAGATTAACAAATCAGGGATTATATTTCTAACCTGGGATTTAAATTAATCTACAGTTTATTTTGTCCACCATGATGGATAAACATCAACAATGTTAATATTCAATTTCCTTTTTTACTGACTACCAGAAACGTCTCGCTGACATCAGTAGCTCTTGCAGAAAAGAAAAATAAATGTGTAAAATGTCTTTATAAGCCAAGGGGAAGATTGTCAGATCAAGCAGACAGAGAAAGCATTGCACCAGCGCTTACGTGATTGCCTGGAAATATATATAAAAAATAATTTTTGAAAAAAGGACAGATAACCAGGCCCAGATTAAGAACAATCTAGGCCCCCTTCATAATGTGTTTGCTTTATTATTATCCTTATTATTGATTTCACAAACGTCAATTTAAAACAAGCACATAACCAAACACAGAGTAATACATCTGATTGTCATACTAAATATTACAGGCTACTTATTGCATTAAGAAAATAAATCCATTATTAACCCAGATATGAACTCAACAGGTTTCTAAAAACAGCTTTTGAACCTTTTTACTGAGCATGAGCATTACTCCAAATAAAAAAATAAAAAAACATATATATTTTTTAATAACTCACCAGTCAGACTCCAGCACCAACAACAGGATAAAACAAACATGTGAAACATTTTCTCCAGTAGTTCAGTGTGTGATGAAACACTCAGTCTATATGTGTGTATCCTCCCACGACACAGTTTGGCCCTCCTAGTTTCACTCGCTGCATTTGAACATGATATAATGTTATAGTTCATCTGGCCCTTATAAGACTTGAACTGTTCTTAATTTGTGAAATATTCTTTATTTCTTATCATTTAACATACTATTTGAAAAGTAGTTGTCTGACTGTGTAAATGGCAAAAGTAGAAGAATATCTAGTGAACTCTACGAATTCTAGTGATTTTAAGATGGTTATGTATATTTATTAAGTACTCAATTTTAGTGTATTTAAAAACCAAAGTAAAAAGTTAAAACTGTGTCTGATCTCATAGTACCAGTTGTATTGAAGTTCATCTTCTGAGTCAAACTGCAACCCTGGGTGGTGTACTTGAGAAATGTGGTGTGATCTGGATCATTGGCTATAGGTGAAGAGTGTGTATGTGTATAGCAGCCTTTCTCAAAGTGGGTGCCGCGGCACACTGGGGTGCCCCCTGACTTTGTCAGGGGTGCCGCCAAAAAATTACGTAGGCTAAAAATATATATATATATATATTTGAATTTACATAAATACATTCTTCATCTTTTTAAACATATGAACGTAATAATAAAATTGTAAATTAATTTCAGATAAATATATATATATAAAATTAACCATAAAAATCCGTCTCACAAGACCGAAGCAAGACACACACGCAAGTGACGCAACCCATAGCACCGCGTTATAGCAACAACACCGACCGCGCGAACGCGCGTCACACAGCAACTGCAGGCTCTGACAAAAACACATACAAACTATACTATACTTCTGCATAACGTGTCTCTTTTTACAACAAAAATGTGAATTCTGCCGGTATTCAGACAGTCCCATGCATACAGATACAGATCCGGCCTACAATCGCCTACATAGGCGAAATTTGTTTGACATTTCTAATCGTAAACACAGCCATGTTGAAGCCTGCAGTAATGTTTTTCATTGATGTTATGGCAGTCCACTCTGCTTATTGTTTTTCGAGAATCTTGCACTCCTGTTTGTCATTGTGCACGAAACTTCATGCCAATAAATCATCAGAAATATTGCTGACTTGTGCGCGTCTCAAGCGCACTCTTTACGCTCGTGCTAATGCCTGTTAGTTGTCCGTGGATTTGCCTATATTTGGCGCTGAAAATGGAAACGTCTTTAGACATGGAAAATCGATTTTACAATCGATTCAATGAACGTTTATGTCTCGATCAGGATTTTTTCACAAAAGTGATAGCCCTGTAAAGTTGTTATTATTATTTTTATTGTTATTTACAGTTCGTATTATGCTCTGTTCATTACTGTTCTGTCTAAATAAACAGGACATTTGCATTTACATTTGGGTTATGCAGTGTTTTTAATTTATATTTTACACTGGGGTGCCTTGAGATTTTATGCTCTTTTGAAAGGTGCCCCGACTGAAAAAAGTTTGAGAAAGGCTGGTGTATAGTATGTGTGTTTACTATAGGTGAAGAGTTTCTTCCTGCCCTGCTTTTTAGTAAGACGAGCAAGAAGGTGGCTGGCCACACACACTGAATTCTGTACAGACTAGTAGTCTATCAAAACTTTTTTTTTCTGGATTGAAAAGTGCAAAAAGTGCAAAGTGAATTTAAAAACAAATGAACAAGAGCAAACGCTTCAGCTCATTGCTTCAGTGCTCTCTGCAACAAACATTCACCCTTTTGTTGATAAATTAATTATGGAAATAAAATCAGCTGTTTTTATGTACCTCTTAGTTAATACCCTCACAGAACAGCTTTACATTCAGATAAAATACTCAATCCTTAACACTTACCCTAAGCCTAACAACAGTCAAGTCAGATTCAGACGTCAATAGCCTATAGACTCTCCCACACCTGAACAATCCCGAAATTAGGGTAGACAGTACTTTTCTATACAACCTGAAGTTAAGAAAAGATGGACTCAGTTAAAATGTGTAGATTGTGGTTGGGGCAATGTGGGTTAAGTTCTTTGTGCATTGTAGGAAAGCATGTTTGGCTTGTGTGAGTGTGGGAGTCTTGAGACAGTAGGGCATGTTTTCCTAGAATGCAGAAGGCAGAAATAAATATATTCTTTGTTAAACTGGCAGGACTTGGAGTTAAGGCTTTTTCTCTTTGTGTGAACACAGTGACGATATCCCCAAGGCAGTTCTTCAGTTCTTGCATGACACATGACTTACATGTAAAAATGTAGTTTACAAGTTGACCAGTGGAGGGCAGTAGCTCAGCAGCGTCTACACTGCCGGAATCCTCCAAGAAGAAGAAGAAGGTCTGACATTCTCTCTCTCTCACACACAGAGACACACCCATCTGCTCAAATTGTGATTTCACTAGTAGGCTACGTTACACCATAAATAGTCTCTGGTTACACTCTACTTCTATTATGGAGGCTCCCATGTTAATTCCACTGCGTCGCCTTTAATGCAGAAGAACAGAATGATTTTACGATCAGAATCAAAACCTGCTGCAAATGAATCTTCTCTTTAATTCGCTCTCGGTGATCTTGATTTTCCTCAACAATGGTAAGAACTTGTTACAATATCTCTCTCTCTCTCTCTCTGTCTCTAGAAGAAACACACAAAATTAATATTATAAATTATTTAAATAAATATTTATATGATGTGATATGGTAGAAAATCATCTGTGGGAAATATATGCTTTCCCCATATGTCCCTTCTGCCTGTGTACATCTCAAGCTCGGCTGTGGGTTGAGCTCCCCGGAGGCGGGACTTTGTAGAAGCCAATTTAGCCAATTGCTGATTCAAGATATAAACGTATTCAAGATATGACATAAAATGTAGCAAATCAGCATCCTCTAATATAATCTAACGAGGGTATACGGTCATCAAACTTAACTCTGTAAAATCAATACTCCAATGTCCGTTTGAGAAGAGAAATTTGGCAGAAAAACTAAAGGTAAAAGAGCTGGACACAGACCAACATGCAGATTTTTTCATCACATTGATTTTTGTTGGTAACACTTTAATAAGGTCTCATTTATCAACATTTGATAATTAACTAACAATGAGCAATACATTTGTTACAGTTTTAACTTTTATTCATCTATGTTAGTTAATAAAATCCAGTTGTTCATTGTTTGTTCATGTCACTACTTCACTGCATTAATGTTGAAATAATGTTAATACATGCTGTAGAAGTAATTGTTCTTTCTTAGTTCATGTTAACTAAAGTAGTTTAATAATGTTAAGTAGTTTACTAATGCTTTGTGTACATAAGTTGTCCTCTGTCTTATTCAAATCGGTCATGCAGGTATCCAAAATTTCATTGAAACTGGTAAATTAACTCATTATAGCTGTTTTTATGAATAACCATAAGCCAAGATCAAGCAGATGTTCTTTAACTTTTCCTGTTCTGCAACTGAAATTGTTTGATATCCATTCCCACCTATAAAATTATTCACCAGCCGCCACTGCGTCAAAGCTACACATTTGTACCATATCTGAACCTGAAAGGTACTTGTCGTATGGTACTAATATGCATTAGTGCTCTTCGCCTGTCGGGCAAAAATGACTGAAATTTTTTTTTTTTTTTTATGAAATTAATGTACTATATTTCAGTTCGAAAATATTTTTTATTTAATATTTTGTATTTTTAGGGGATTTCATTGTACTAAATTATATTTACGCTCTATTTATAATCCATTTGTTCACGTTTTTTAGCATACTGTCGTAATTCTTAAATGCTTTAGTTTAGAGCACAGACTTTTTTCAAGAGAAACCTCTCTTTTCAAAGACGACACTATAAAGTGAAAAAAGGTTTTAAAAAGTGAACTTAAAAAAAAGTTACAGAAATTTACATTTATTGTTATGAAAAATTAGCAAAAATACACATATTTTCAATATGTGAAATATATATTTTCAAAAACACGTTTTACTCTAAAACTGAGAAAATCAAAGCCATAAATCTAAACAAGCTGTGTTTAATATTTGAGACAGTACCAAAAGTTTTCACTAGATGGAATTCGTCTCCCATTAATTTCCCGCGTTGAGCACAAGTGCCTTTTTTTTCAGGAACAAACAAACCGGGTCAGAGATCACAGATCCTACCCGACCTAAAAAGCCTCAGTATCCATAGAGAGCTGCTTTACAGATACGCCAGCTAATACATATTTGTGTTGTTTTGTTTTTTTCGTCTTAGCGTGCTTGAATGGTTTAATAGCATTTCAATGAATTATGGCATCGTCATATTACCATTTAATCCCACCGGTCACAATAGTGACCGTAAAAAAATGTTTCATTTCTAAGGCTATAAAAAATGTTACTGAATGATCTATCAATGCATTTCCAGCAGATATTGAAATAATAAAGGGTCTCAATGAAATATGTGCAGTGTCGCATGTTTACTGTAAATTGTCACATGACCAGAGCTGTTTATTTCCTGTTTGTGCCAAGAGAAGAGGATGGCAGCAAGAAAGCTCCCAAAGAAAAGATTAGTAAAGTATGTTAACATAAAGATAGGACATAGATTTTTGGTACACGTCATGTTTAAGGTGTCTAGTATTGATATGCATTTGCAATTACTCAACTTTGTTTAATGTGGTCATAGACCTCACAAACATGTCACCGGCAACAATAGTGAGCGGTGGGATAACCCATTGTATCTCCATGCTAATACACATAGGCTAACTGTTCTACCTTACTTTCTGCTGCTACCTAACTTACTACCTGTTTTTACACACACACCGCACACCCCACACACACACGCACACCCCACACGCACACACACACCAGACACCCCAAACACACACACACACCGCACAACCCACACGCACGCACACACACACACCAGACACCCCACACACACACACCGCACACCCCACACACACGCACACACACACCAGACACCCCACACACACACACACACCGCACACCCCACACACACGCACACACACACACACCAGACACCCCACACGCACGCACACCCCACACGCACACACACCCCACTACAGACCCCACACACAAACCACACATCCCACACACACACACACCCCCCCACACACACACACACACCGCACACCCCACACGCACCCCACACACACGCACACCCCACACGCACACACACCAGACACCCCAAACACACACACACACACACCCCACACCCACGCACACCCCACACACACGCACACACACACACCAGACACCCCCCACACACACACACACACCACACACCACACACACACCGCACACCCCACACACACGCACACCCCACACACACGCACACCCCACACACACGCACACACACTAGACACCCCACACGCACGCACACCGCACACCCCACACGCACGCACACCACAAACCCCACGCACACCACACCACAGACCCCACACACCCCACACACACACCACACACCCCCCACACACACCACACATCCCACACACACACACACCCCACACACACACACACACACACACCAGACACCCCACACACACACACCAGACACCCCACACACACACACCACACACCCCACACGCACGCACACCACACACCCCACACGCACGCACACCACACCACAGACCCCACACAAACCACACACACCACACACACACACACACACACACACACACAAACCACACACACCACACACACACACACACATCCCACACACACCCCACACACACACACTGCACACCCCACACGCACGCACACCACAGACCCCACACAGACCCCACACAGCCCACACACAAACCACACACACACCACACACCCCACACACACACCACACATCCCACACACACGCACACCAGACACCCCTGCAGTCACACAGTTAATAGGGTTCTAACATGTAGATGATAAATATGGTCAGACTCAGACGTGCCATATACATAACGCTACAGCGCTGTGGGTAAATGCATCCACACACACACACACACACCCACACACACACACAGTTTGAAGCCAATTTTTCATTTGGTTAATTGTGATGGTGCAAATTGAACAAAGAACTGCAAAGCGTTACACGGACCGTACACGGACCCTTGAGGTCTTCTGTACGTCAGTGAACCGTTAGCCGCAAGATGCGTGAATAAACAACAGGTGGCGGTAATGGCAAAACAAATTAGTTTGTAATCTAACAAGAAGAAGAATATCCTTGCATCGCCCTGATTTGCGCAGGCTCAACAAAACACAATGTAGCTTTTGCTCGCTACACCCAGAGAATGTCTAATATGGGGAGAACTCCCACTCACAATAAACTTCCGGGGTCTGAACTGGTTGCAGTTCCACTCTAGATCCATATGAGGGCGCTCACAGGCAGAGTGCAGAATGAATGGAGGTCTATGGAGCAATACCACTAAAAATCCACTTTTCTCAGGATATAATTTTTTGTCTAGTAATTTGAATGTTGTATTCGAAAGAAGATGCAACAAAATTACACATTACTGGGTGTTAGATTTTTTAGAGTCACTTATTTGCTTTAAAAAGTCTTTTAAAATGTCAATGACGTCATACACATCGTACGACCAGAAACCTGCTTTACGGCAATCCTTCATTCACTGGTGCTTTCGCGCATAGACAGACGAGAGAAGCCGCGAAATTTAAAAATACTACTGTTATTGTGTCACGAAATGTAGTTTTAATAGTTTTTCAGTCGACAATGTAGTTGTTTAAAGCTCAAATCTGTGGTTTATTTATAAATATAGTAGGGATGCACGATGATATCGGGACAACATCGGTATCGGCCGATAAAAGCTTAAAATGACCATCATCGGCATCGGCCGATATGAATATTTCTGCCGATGAGTCTTGCCGATAGGGTGGCGTGTTTCCTATGCGCACGTGACGACCGTGAACGAAGCATGAGCGCCAGCAACTTAAACTTCCAACTAGGGGTGTGCCGTGCGTCTCACGGTTTTTGATCGTGGACGATTAAAATGTCTCCACGATCTGCTTTTGAAGAAAAATCATAGTATCGTGCATTCTATCAGTTTAATTCTGGCGCCTTCAGTTCATCTCAACATACTGTACAACGCGACGTACATTCACATCACATCACATGTAAACGCAGAGGTAGAGTTACACTCACGGGACACTGCAATTCACAAAAGTTCATTATACATTTACAAAAGGGGATTTTTTTGATCCCATGTGTTCCGAGTGTTCCGTGTGTGTAAATGGGTGTTCAGAAATTCAACCAGCGTTGGTCACGCGGTGAACTCGCGACCAGTCCCGTGTGAGCGTGTGTGCTTCGAATTTGATGAGTTTAAGCAACTGCTACAATGGCCAGTTGTCTAATCTTACAATTCTCTTCTGTGTGTGTAAGCGAAAAACCCCAAGGGGGATTCCACGTGTGTGCGCTTATCTGAATGGACAATGTTCGTCTTGTCACCTTCGGAGGGGTTCTTCCACGTGATTCTGATTCCAAGATGCAGTGTTTCCCCTAGGATTTTTTTTCAGGGGGGGGGGGGGCTGCTAGTGTTGCGGAGCGGGCGTGTTACGGATACGTGGTGTACATTTTTTAGCAATCAAAAAGCATGTCTAATTAATTGAAATAGTGTATTATGAAT